CAATATCCACAAATCAATTGATGTGATACACCACATTAACAAAGTGAAGGATAAAAATCATATGATCATCTCAATAGATGCAGAAAAAGCATTTAGCAAAATTCAACATCCATTTATGATAAACCCCACAACAAAGTGGGTATAGTGGGAACATACCTCAATATGATAAAGGCCATATATGACAAACCCATGTCTAACATCATACTCAATGGTGAAAAGCTGAAAGGTTCTCTTCTAACATTAGGAACAAGACAAGGATGCCCACTCTCGCCATTCTTATTCAACATATTATTAGAAGTCCTAGCTACAGCAATCAGACAAGAAAAAGAAATAAAAAGCATCCAAATTGGAAAGGAAAAAGTAAAACTGTCACTTTTTGAATATGACTTGATACTATATATAAAAAGCTCTAAGGGCTCCATCAAGAAACTATTAGAGCTAATAAATGAGTTCAGTAAAGTTGCAGGATATGAAATAAATATACAGAAATCAGTTGTGTTTCTATACACTAATAATGAACTATCAGAAACAGAAATTAAGAAAACAATTCCAGGGCCGGCCCCATGGCTGAGTGGTTAAGTTCGTGCGCTCCGCAGCCATGGCCTAGGGTTTTGCCAGTTCGGATCCTGGGCGTGGACATTGCACCACTCATCAGGCCATGTTAAGGTGGCGCCCCACATGCCATAACTAGAAGGACCTGCAACTAAGATACACATCTATGTACAGGGGTGGTTTGGGGAGATAAAGCAGAAAAAAAAGAAGATTGGCAACAGTTGTTAGCTCAGGTGCCAATCTTTGGGGGAAAAAAAAGAAAACAATTCCATTTACAATTATATCAAAAGGAATAAAATACCTAGCAATAAATTTAACCAAGGAGGTAAAAGACCTGTACACTAAGAACTACAAGACATTGATGAGAGAAATTGAAGACAACACAAATAAATGGAAAGATATACCATGCTCATGGATTGGAAGAATTAATATTGTTAAAATGTCCATACTACCCAGAGCAATCTACAGATTTAATGCATCCCTATTAAAATTCCAATGGCATTTTTCACAGACCTAGAATAAATAATCCTAAAATATGTATGAAACCACAAAAGACCTTGAATAGCCAAGGCAATCTTAAAAGAAGAACAAAGCTGAAGGTATCATGCTCCCTGATTTCAAACTATACTACAAAGCTATAGTATAAATATGTTATATGTATAGTATAAAACACTATGGTACTGGCACAAAACAGACACATAGATCAAAGGAACAGAATAGAGAGCCCAGAAATAAACCCACACCTATATAGTCAATTAGTCTACTACAAAGGAGGCAAGAATATACAATGGTAAAAGACAGTCTCTTCAGTAAGGTGTTGGGAGAACCAGACAGACACCTGCAAAAGAATGAAACCACTTTCTTACACCATATGCAAAAATAAGCTCAAAATAGATTAAAGACTTAAATGTAAGACCTGAAACTCTAAAACTCCTAGAAGAAAGCATAGGTAGTAAACTCTTTGACATCAGTCTTAGCAATATTTTTATGGATCTGTCTCCTCAGGCAAGGGCAACAAAAGCAAAAATAAACAAATGGGACTACATCAAATTAAAAAACTTTTTCACAGCAAAGGAAACCATCAACAAAATGAAAACACAACCTACTGAATGGGAGAATATATTTGCAAATGATATGTTCGATAAGGGGTTAATATCCAAAATATATAAAGAACTCATACAACTCAATATCAGAAGCAAACAATCCGATTAAAAAATGGGCAAAGGACCTGAATAGACATTTTTCCAAAGGAGACATACAGATGGCCAACATACACATGAAAAGATGCTCAACATCCCTAATCATCAGGGAAATGCACATCAAAACCACAATGAGATATCACTTCACATCTGTCAGAATGGCCATTATCAACAAGACAATAAATAACAAGTGTTGGCAAGGATGTGGAGAAAAGAGAACCCTCATGCACTGTTGGTGGGAATATAAATTGGTACAACCACCAAGGAAAACAATATGGAGCTTCATCAAAAAATTACAAATAGACCTGCCATATGATCTAACAATTCCCCTTCTGGGTATTCATCCAAAGCAGACAAAAATACTAATTTGAAAATATATATGCACCCCTGTGTTCACTGCAGTATTATTTACAATAGCCAAGATACGTAAGCGACCTAAGCGTCCATCAGTAGATGAATGGATAAAGAAAATGTGGCATATAGATATACAATGGAATATCAGTCGTAAAGAAGAATGAAATGCTGTCATTTGTGACAACATGGATGGATCTAGAGTGTATTACGTTAAGTGAAATAACTCAGACAAATAAGATGAATACTATATGATTTCACTTATATGTGGAATCTAAAAAAAAAAAAACAACAATGGAACAAACAAGACAAAACAGAAACAGACTCACAGATATTGAGAACAAATTAGTGGTTGCCAGAGGAGAGGAGAGTTGGGGGAAGTACAAATGTCAAGTCATAAAATAAATAAGTCCTGGAGATGTAATGTACAGCATAGGGAATACAGTCAACAATACTGTAATAATTTTGTATGGTGACAGATGGTTACTAGTCTTATCAGTGTGGTAATTTTGTAATGTATAGAAATGTTGAATCACTATGTTGTACACCTGAAACTAATATAATATTGTATGTCAACTATATATACTTCAATAAAAAAATAAAAATTAATTAAAGCAAAAAAAAATGTCCATACTACTCAATGTGATGTACAGATTCAATGCAATCCCTATCAAATCCCAATGGCATCTTTTACATAAATAGAAAAATAGAAATAGAATTCATATGGAACCACAGCAGACCCTGAATGGCCAAAGCAATCTTGGGCGAGAACAACAAAGCTGGCGACATCACACTTTCTGACTTGAAAATATATTACATAGCAATCAAACAGCATAAGAACAGACATATATAAGCCAGTGGAACAGAATAGAGGAAATAAGCTCACATGTTTATGGCCAACTGATCTTCCTCAAGCGTGCCAAGAACACACAATGGGGAAAGGATGATCTCTTCAACAAATGGTATTGGGAAACTGGATATCCATATGCAAAAGAATGAAGTTGTACCCACATTTCATACACAAAAGTGAACTCAAAATGGGTTAAAGAATTAAACATTAGACCTGCAACTGTAAAACTCCTGGATGAAAACATAAGGAAACATCTTCAGTCAACAAAAGCAAAAATAGACAAACGGAACTATATAAAACTAAAAAGTTTCTCCATCTCAAAGGAAACAACGAAACAAAAAGGCAGTCCACAAAATGGAAAAAATATTTGCAAACCATATATCCAATAAGGCATTAATATCCAAAATATATAAGGAACTCATATAACTCAGTACTAAAAATATAAATAACTCGATTTAAAAATTGGCGGAAGATCTAAATAGACCTCTCAAATATACATATACTATACATATTTATACTATAGCTTTGTAGTACAGTTTGAAATCAGGGAGCATGATACCTCTCTAAAGAAGAAATTCACATGGCTAACAGGTCGATGGAAAGGTGCTCAGCATCTCTCATCGTCAGGGAAATGCCAATCAAAACTATAAGGAGGTATCACCTCATCTGTTAGTTTGGGTATTATCAAAAAGACAAAAAGCTCACTACTGTTGGTGGAGATGTAGAATAAGGGAACCCACGTGCGTGGCTGATGGGACTATACATTAGTACAACTGTTATGGAAAACAGTATGGAGGTTTCTCAGAAAATTTAAAATAGAACTACCATGTGATCCAGTAATCCCATTTCTGGGCACACATCCTAAAGAACTGAAGACAGGATAGCAGAGACATACCTGAACTCCCTTGTTCACTGCAGCATTATTCGAGATACGGAAAGAACCTAAATGTCTGTCGGTGGATGAGTGGATAAAGAATAGTACATTCTCTTTATCATTCATCTGTCAGTGGACATTTATATGTGTGTAGTCATGTGCCGCATAAGATGTTTCGTTCAATGACAGACTACATGTACAATGGTGGTCCCATAAGATTAGTACCACAGAGCCTAGGTGTGTAGTAGGCTACACCATCTAGGTTTGTGTAAGTACACTCTGTGATGTTCATACAATGATGAAATCACCTAATGATGCATTTCTCAAGATGTATCCCCATTGTTAATCGATGCATGACTGTATTTACATAGCGTTTACATTGTATTAGGTATTATAAGTAATCTAGAGATGATTTAAAGTATATGGGAATGGGGGCTGGCCCCATGGCTGAGTGGTTAAATTTGTGCGCTCTGCTTTGGCGGCCCAGGGTTTCGCCAGTTCGAATCCTAGATGCGGACATGGCACTGCTCATCAGACCATGCTGAGGCGGCGTCCCGCATGCCACAACTAGGAGGACCCACATCTCAAAATACACAACTGTGTACCGGGGGGCTTTGGGGAGAAAAAGGAAAAATAAAATCTTTAAAGTATATGGGAAGATGTGTGCAGGTAGGTTGTATACACCATTGTATATAAGAGACTTCAGCATCTGTGGATTTTGGTGTCTGAGGAGGGTCCTGGAACCAGTCCCCTGTGGATATTGAGAGATGACTGTACTGGGATTGTAAGGAGGCTTCCTCACGTAGGCATAATCAATTATTAACTCTGTTTCTAGCCCCTCTCCCCTCTCTGGAGGATGAGAGGTGGGGCTGAAAATTCCAAGCTTCTAATCATGGCTTGCGGGGCTGGCGCTGTGGCCGAGTTGTTAAGTTCATGTGCTCTGCTTTGGCTGGCCAGGATTCACTAGTTCGGATCCTGGGCGTGGACCTACGCACCACTCATCAAGCCATGCTGTGGCAGCATCCCACATAGAAGAACTACAAGAACTTACAACTAGGATATACAACTATGTACTGGGGCTTTGGGGAGAAAAAAAAGGGGGAGAAGATCAGCAGCAGATGTTCTCTCAGGGTCAATCTTCCTCACCAAAAAAAAAAAAAAAAAAAGAGCAAAAAGCATATCTTAATCATGGGTTGGTATTTCTGGTGACCAGCTCCCATCCAGGAGCCATCCAGGAGTCCACCTAGAGTTGCCTTATTAGAACAAAAGATGCTCCCAGTATTCTTATCACTTAGGAATTTACAAGGGTTTTAGGAGCCCCTTGTTAGGGATGGATCAAAGACCAAAAGTTAGAACAAGTCCTAGTGTTCCTATCACTTGGAAATTACAAGGGTTTTAGAAGCTCTGGGCCAGCAACTGGGGCAGAGACCAATATATATTTTCTGTTATCTCACAGCTGCCTGCCCCCAACTCCAGTCCCTCCCATTCCATTGGTGATCTGGTGTTCTCACGGCACTCCTCCGCACTCCGTTTTCTTATTGGTTTGCTGACTTGCTAGTGGTCTCCATCCCCTTCCAAAGTGAAGTTCTTTTGGAGGCAGAAACCTGGACTGTTTGCTGCTGTATTCCCCAGAGAGCCGTTTCTGAGCAAAGCAGGAAGTCCACAAGTAGTTGGTGAATAAGCGAGTGAAGAAAAGCCCTGTGCTGGGCACCTTACACTTACCTATTCCTTGATTAACATCTCCCTTACCCCACTTTATAAACAAGTGTTTCGAGAAGAAAATCACCCAATTGCTTGTTGGTCAAAGTGGGAAGCAAAATGAAAGAGAAATTGGGTAAACAGAGCAGAAGGACAAGTGCTGGAGAGGTTTTCTTTTTATCCCGGCATCAGAACAGCGCTAGTGCCTGTTGATTTCATGAATAACGGAGGCCGGCTCTACCCGGAAAGAGACGTCACCGCTAGTGTTCACTGCACCGTTTCTCATTTCCATAGTTTTCTTTAAAGCCACACCACCCGTTCAGGAACTCCACTGCCACAGCTGCGAGATCCACTGCTGCTGCTCTTCCCCATCAGGCCAGCTGTGCATTTTCATAAGTCAGGGCATCGAGGTACAATTCGTCAGCTCCATGTCGGCCCGCTGCAGAGCTTGCAGCATTTCCTGCAGTCTGGTGTGGACCCGGGCGAGTTCCACTCTGTTGAGGTTCCCCCACCTGTATTCATCCAAGTACACAATGCATTCAGCAGGCACAGGGTAGTGCACACGCTTCAGCTCCTTCAGCCCCGCTAAGTGCTGCAGCACGTTCATGATGCCTGACGTGGAGATGACGTTGTCGTAGAACACGAGGGAGCGGAGGCGGGAGCAGCAGCACAGGGCGGGCAGGAGGGCACGGAGCTGGGCCTCCTTCAGCCGGCAGCTCCTCAGGTTCAGGTGCTCCAGCGTGCCGGAGACCTCACCGAGCAGAACCTCGAGGGGCCCAGGGACCGTTTGGGACAGGTTATTGCTACACAGGACCAACTCCTTCAGGCGGGTGGCATGAGTGCTCTGGGACAAGTAGGTGATGTCATTCTCAGTAATCCTACATCCATTAATCACCAGAGTCTCCAATGGTTTTTGCAGGCCACTGTGGAGACACAGGAAGACACAGTTACTTCTTGGAAATTGGGGTGGAGTGCTAGATACATTTGGGAAAGGTCCAGAAATCTGGCCTGAGAAATTCGCCCCACCCTTGCCTCAGTCTAGATGCAAATGGTAGGAGCCAGTCTTCTGTACTGGTGAAGAACATGGAGCTTGGAGTCAAACATTTTCCCATCCCCAACAGGACCTCTCCTGTTTTCAGAGCGTGGTGTCAGGCACACTGACCTCTCTCAGCCTCAGCTTCCTAATGAGCCATGTAAACACAGTGATCACTCACGTCCCTAAGTTGTTGTAGGAATTAATGAAATTTAGATGTGGCTCCTACACGTGGTAAGGGCTAGGTTTTTACTGGTGGCAGGTTTAGGAAGGTGTTCCCCATGCTCCTATTCACAGACAGAGAAGTCTGTGAGACATAGATGAGGGGATGAGTTGACCAAATCACCTGGGCTTAGACACTGTGCGGGCAATTACCTTCCTCCAATACTGCCCTCCCAACTTAGCATCCTTGTTCACCCTTCTCTATATAAGCTCTTGTAAGCTCCAGGAAGACAAGGCCCTGTCTGACTTTTTTCAGGGTTTTATATCCATTCTTAGCTCTCTGCTTGGCATGAACTAAGTGCTTGAATGAATGAACGAACGAATGAATGAACAAATGAATGAGTGGATGAGATGCCAATCTTGGACATATGTCTTTCTCTTCTATAAGAGCCAATAGCCATTGGTTGGCCCAAGACCCCAGCCTTGGAGTCTAAGTCCATCAGTGAGTCTGCAGGAACTCATGGAAGGGGTGAGTCCCGGCTTGTCTCTGCTCTGAGAGAGCAATGCTTAGAGGAGTGTTCAGGGACCTTGGCCTTGTAGCTTCAGAGGGACTTTCACACACTCACCTGAGCATCTTATGGAGCTGACCCGAGAGACAGCCAAAGGTGAGGTGGAGCTTCTGGAGGTGGCCCAGCGGACTCAGCAGGGAGAAACAGTCAGCTGGGAAATCCCAGGGGATGTCGCTCATGATGAGTTTGCCCAGGCTGCTCATCTGCCCTAGCTGGGTGAAGAACTGGATGAGGTCTGACTGGAAGCAGAACCTGCTCCTGTGATGAAGCCTCACCTCTCGGATGGCCTCCAGCTCCAGCATTCCCAGGATCTCTATGAGGCTGCGGAATGGCACTTGGTTAATGACCAGTGTCCGACAGTGGAGGCGCAGACAGCCGTGGCTCTTCCCGACTCGCTGCAATATGTACGACGGAAACCCAGACAGGTGGAAGAAACCGAACAAACCACCTAAGAACAGGTCCGTGTATATGTCCACAGGTTCTCGGTCACTCCGAGGCTGTTCTCTGAAACTGGGCGTGAGCTGGTCTGCCTCGGGCTCTTCTAGCACATGCGTGATGACAAACGGTGCAGGAGAGGTCTCAGAGCATTCCTCCCAGTTGGAGTGCTCAAAGTCATGGGTAAAATCCAGCACCTTTAGCTTCGATCTCCTGTGGGGAAGGAGGAGGAGGGCTGAGAGTGTGACTTTCAGGATATATGGCAGGGCTGGTATGAGACTGGCAGCAGCAGACCCTGGGAAGTGGCCTCTGTGCCGGCCAGCAGCCCTGCCCACTGCTGTCTGCCAAGCCTTCTAAGTGCACTCTTCCAGCCTCATACAGCCTCAGACCCTCCTCAGTCCCCTTCTCTTATAGGATCCGGGGATACCACCCAGGCACCTAACCACACTCTCGATGACCTCAGCAGCACGATCAGCACTGAACTATACTAGGTCTTTCCTCTTGGAGGGCATTTGAACAATGACCTCAAGGCCTCCCACTGATTGATGTTGTACTACCAGAAGATTCTGGCACATCCTTGGACCCCACATTCTTGAATCCAGCTCCCTCCTTCTCAACTCACTATGCCCCCACCAGCACCCCATCTCTACAGTTACCTGGGGCAAGCAGTGTTGGTAGGAACCAATTCCAGCCCATCTAGTACCGCTTCCAACAGGTCTTGAGTTATTGACTGATCCCTTAATGATCCCAGGTGGAGGCAGGGGAAGGGCCAGGCCTGCACCATTGCTGTCACCGTCTTTGTGTGTCCCCCTTCAAAGGCCACAGCGGACAGTGTTGGGAAGAGGCCCACAGGGAGCTCTCCCAGGGCACGCATGGCTGAGTCTTCGTCACTCAGCAGGCTCTGCGCTGCAAGGTCCAGGAGGCGGAGAGGGGCTTGTCGGCTCATCACCACTGACCTGGCGCAAGGTAAGGGGAAATCCTGAGTGGGCTTCACAGTGCACAGCCTCTTTTGTGGGGCCAGGACAACCCAGGCCTCAAACACCTGTCACAGCAGGAGCGAGACCCCCATCCCTCCTTCTACCCTTGCGTTGCTAGTCATAAATCGCCAGCTAGTGTTCCTGACTCTGATACCAGCTGGCCGAAAAGGGAATAATTAGAGTTTTCCCTGTCCCTCATTGCGGTTCAGAGACTGTAAACTGTTCCTAGCAATTTCTCGACCTTTCCTCAAGATCATCACCACCTCCCAGGTGATTTTAAGGAACATGACTGAACAACCAATCTCTTACCCTAGGCCAACGGTAAGGGGCCGAGGCCTGAGGTTTTGTTTGCCTGTCCGGCAGCAGGCCTTCTAAAATAGCAATAGCAAGGGCACTTTCCGCACGTTCAGCTCCCTCCTCCTTCCCGCTCTGGGGGCTGCATTCCCCACATTCCACCAGGTGTCCTGCAATTCAGAGGGGAGAAAATAATTTTCAAAAAAGTCAACAAGATATAAAACTCCTCTTACGGGGCTAGTAAAATTCAGAAAAAGCCAAGGGGAGAACGGAAAATCATGGGACAATCCTATGGATGAGCACAGATACAAAAGTCCCGAGTAAAATATTACCTAGTGGAACTAAGCTGTGTCTCACAAAGAAGCAGGAGGACGAAGGGATTCTTCCAGGAAAGAAAGGAGGTGACACGGTAGAGAATCTATCGGTGAACTTCTGACTGCACTTGGACAGCTAAACACGAGTGCTTTGCGCTGCAACCTAAAAACCCAAATGCAGTGAAGGAACGTCTAAAACCAGAAAGCCAAAGAGGATCAATTAGAGATCCCCACTCCTCCAGAAAAGGCAAAGTTTTGGATTGTGGAAAAAGGTGGATTAGAGGAACTAGTGCTCACACCACAGAAGCCCAAACCTAAGCCTGTGGGGGCTGGGGGAGGGTAGTGAAGTCAGTAAGAAATCAGTTGCAGACCCCACCGGGGCCTCAGGAGTGAGATGCGCAAGTCGGGCCCGGGTGGGAAGCCGAGACTGTGGCCAGGACTTGGGCACTCGTGGAGCGTCTACAAACATGAGCGTCTACCTCCACCAGCAGCACAGGCAGCAGTCCACACCCGGGGCCCAGCCTTCCTCCGGTTCCCAGCCTGACTCTGCGAGGCTACCCCCTGGAGCCGTGCTCAGGCCCCCGTCCTGCAGCAGACTGCTCTTCGCGCGGGAGAAGCCAGTGCCCGAGGGCAAGGTTGGTAAATGATCATTTCAACAACCAAAACACTAGCTTAGGATCCAACTGAACCTTCTCTACTGGAGCATTTCCCACATATGCATGACTGAGAGGGGCACCTGCTCAGGGGCTCAGGCCCGGGGGCAGCCTGGGGAGCAGGCAGGGCAGGTGAGGGAAGCACCAGGGCCCTGTCACAATCCACCAATTGTTCTGAAGGCAGAGCGCCTCTGAAGCAGCCCGTGCTGCAGAGGTGGCTGCGAAGAGTCTGAGTCCTCTCCTCCGTGATTTTCCTGAAATATCCCATTTCTAGGAAGGAACAGCCCACAGGAAACCACACGCCCGCTACTGAAATGATGTGCAATGACAGTAGCTAGCTCACTGGAGGCAGAATATGCCTGGGACTCTCAGGGGCATCTCTGTCCTTGTCCCTCCTCTGAGAGCAGACAGAGCTTCGCTGGCAAAAGTAAGCCTGACTACAAACTCTTCATAAGGGAGGGATGTATACTCTACTGACGTCTCCACAGGGGACTGAAGCGGTTCCCCAGGACGCAGCACAGGAGAGCTCATGGCTCTCCGGGAGACAGTCTCCCCTCCCTCCCCTCCCCTCCCTCAGCCTGTCTGTCTTTCTGGACAGTCTCCCTCCCACCAAGTGCCTTTCTTTCTGCCTTTTTTTCTTTGTTTCTTCCTTTGTTCCTCCCTCCCTCCCTCCCTTCCTGTCCTTCCCTTCCTTCCTCCCTTCCCTTTCCTTCCTTCCTTCCTTTCTTTCTTTTCTTCCTTTCATCCTTTCTTTCTTTTTTTGAGGAAGAGTAGCCCTGAGCTAACATCTGCTGCCAATCCTCCTCTCTTTGCTGAGGAAGACTGGCCCTGAGCTAACATCCATGCCCATCTTCTTCTACTTTATATGTGGGACGCCTGCCACAGCATGGCTTGCCGATCGGTGTGTAGGTCTGCACCCAGGGTCCAAATCAGTGAACCATGGGCCACCAAAGTGGAACATGTGAACTTAACTGCTGCGCCACCAGGCCGACCCCATAAATGCCTTTCTTATGAGGAGACATTCACACCTGCCAGCTTCTCCCTGCTCATCACCCGCAGGAGCCTCACCGACCCCCTTCTCGGGTTGAGGTGGGTGTTGTGAGTGGCACATATTTGATTTCCTCAGGGCCTTCTCCTCGGTTCCAGTGCAGCTTTTCTTCTCCACTTGGATTTTCTGCCCAAGACAGAGTGTCTATCCAGCAGGACATAATGAGTTGATGCCTCTGGTTCCTTCCAGCAGCCAGCAGTCTCAGCTACTCCTTTTCTTGCCCGCGGAAACCAGCGTGTGTTGCTGGCCTACTCCGCCCTGTGCGCCACCTGAGTGCACTTCTACTCTTCGGCAAGGGGTCCTCTAGGAATCCAGTGGCCTCCGATCCTGGGGGAATCTCTGAGGAGGAGGCTAGTGAGATAAATTACAGCCTGGCCTCTGCGGCTGCTCTTGGGGCTGCAGTGGCTCTCATCTCCTCCTTCCTCCGTTATTTATTATGGATTCCCCTAATGATCAGCTGCCACCTCCGCTGTCCTTGGTAGCTGACCAGGTGGCCCGACTCAGAGCTTCATCTGCAGGCTCTGAGCCCCTATTCACTACGCCTTCTCCGGCTAGGGTTTCAGCACTTGTCTTTTTCCCTTCACAGCTGGGCAAGGGAATACCAAGAGGCACCCAAGGGATCACGTGGGAGTCAAACATATTCCTCCATACCCTCTGGTTTAAAAGCAGCCCTATCTCCTCCAGACGACCTGGGTCAGTTACCCCCGCCAAGATGGGGGCTCCTTTCCTTACCAACTGGATGCTGGACACAAAGAGGATAACGTGTTCTGCTGGCAGCCACAGCTTATAATGCAATGGGACACTTCTGTTGAACAATGGACCACTGCTGAGCCTAACCTACTTTATGACTTGGTAGGTTTGATGCAACTTACCTCATGACAGGCAGTTTGGGACATGAGGTCACCTCGTGTCCCCTGGTCCTCTGAGGGCCCACAGCAGTGCAGCAGTTTTACAGAGCACTTAGAATTCCCCACTGCAGACTGCACGCCTTGATCCAGACCTCCAGAAGCCAGTGTTGTGATCTCCCACCGGAGCATGCCATGAATTCCACATGGCACCTTTTCCAACCACTGATGCCTCCACTCCCCTAAGTGCTGCCGAGTCTTGTGGCCCAAATGGCAGGGCTGCTGTCACTGCAGCCCACACTGTACTGGTCCCCAGAGAACTTGCCTACTCTGGGCTGCAAAGTGGCAGCCTTTTGTGTCACAGCCTGTGGTATACAGGCCAGAGAAGTGTTCCCGGGTATGAAATATGCTGTCTCCGAAATCTGAAGAGTTCTATCAGGCATTGTGCTTCCCTCCTCATGTAGGAGGTGCAAGATGTGATCATTCGTCTTTTATTTTGGATGATATGACCCCCATGCCCTCGACCCTTGGGCTCTCAAAGTTGTTCTCATGTGGCGGGTCCTTGGATCTTCATGTGGATTATATCCTACTCTTTGCAGTGCATTTTTCTTTCTAGGCCTCCAACATGCCAGTCATTTCTCACTAATCTACTTGATTAGCATGATGCCATCAAAGTAGAGAATCAATGAGATGTTCTGTGGATGCCCAGATGGTAGATGGTCCAGATCTTTTCAGACTGTGACAGAGGGCAGAGTGGTATAATCCTGGGGAAAAAATTAAATGCATATGTCGTCTGCTCCATGTGAATGCAAATGGTATCTGCTAGGGATAGAAAAGAACACACGTGCCCATCAATGTTCATATACCATAGACCTGAGCCTTCATTATCGGCTCAAGCAGAGAGCGCACATCTGGCACAGCAGCTTTGATTGGGGCGACTATTGTGTGAGTCTATAGAAGTCTCGGCCAAGCCTCAGGATGAATCTGGTTTCTGCAGGGGCGGACTGGTGAATTAAAGGGAAATGTGACAAGGACCACTACCCCTGAGTCCTTTTCATCCTTAAGACTGGTACAATTTTCTGTCATTCCTCCTAGGATGTGGTATTGTATTTTATTTATTATCTTGACCAGGGGTGGGAATGGTTACAGAGGCCTCCACGTGGCTTTCCTCTCGTGATAGTTTTTATCCCACAGATGAAAGACCCACTGAGGGTATTCCATTAACTGACAAATATTCTATTCCAATTACACGTTTGCAAACTGGGTAATGACACAGTGTACCCATTGTGAGCTGGATCTTGGCCAAGATTCTATTTATTACCTGGCTCCCCATATACACCCATTCTAACAGCTGGCCACAGTGATGTTTTGGATCTCAAGGTATCAACTCTGACCCTATGTCCAACAATATTCAAATTATTTTTATATCCCCCTTTCCCTGGTCCAAACACTCCTCAAATTGCTTGTATATTCCAATTTCCCTCGTTCACAGTTACCCAAGTGTGGTAGCCAGCCTCCAGAATGGTCACAATGCTTCTTGCCTCCTGGTATTCAGCCCTTGTGAAGTCCCCTGCCACAATGAATAAAGCAGATCTGTGATAACCAATAGGATACTGTGGAAATTACAGTGTGTGACTTCCAAGGTTAGGTCATAAAAGACACTGTGTCTTCCATATTGTTCTCTCTTGGATCACTTGATTTCATGTCATGGAGACACTCAAGCAGCCCTATGGAAAGGTCCATGTGGCAAGCAACTGAGGCCTCTTGTCAGAAACTTGCCAGGCGGGTGGGTAAGCTACCTTGGAAGCAGATACTCTAGCCCCAGTTGAACTTCAAATGACTGTTGCCCCAGCCCACATCTGGACTGCATCCTCATAAGACCATGAGCCAGAACCATCCGGCTAAGCTGCAACCAGATTTTTGACCCACAAAAACCATGTGGGATGATAAAAATAATAAATTAAGCTGCTAAGTTTTGGGGTAATTTGTTGTACAACACAGATAACTAATACACTGAATAAATGTATATAGATTCCTTCAAGGAAATTATTACTGAGTCCACTTGCCATGGTGTTACATGGTCCTTCCTCCTGGAGATCTGTCCTCTTCTTCAACCAAAGGATTTCAGGCCTGAAAACTGACTCATGTCTAGAAACTTGGCAAAGGATCATGCCATTTTATCAGGCGGACTGCCCTCAGCCTCTATCATCCATGCTTGATTCTTTTGATAGTTCCAGTGTCACTCTGGGTGGCTGCCCTTCTATTTTGCACCTAAGGACACTGTGTTCTTTTTCTTGTCATGGAAGAGAATTATATTGATTCCGATTGAGGATTTAAGCACAAGTCTTTGTTATCCCATTTAAGCACTTAATGAAAGCAGTCCCAAAGCTTTTAAGGCTGTTACTTTGATGTATGAACTGTGCTCAGAGCTATCCTTGAGGATTATCCTTTACTATAGTGGGTTGCCTTTTTTTAAAAAATAGTATCTACTCTGCCGAACTGCCTACTCTCTGGCCACCCCCAGAGTAAACAGTTCAGTAAACTCTGAACTTTCTGCCAAGAAAGACTTTCACACAGGGGCTATGTACCATGGGGGGAGGTGCATCTGAGGGGCACTGCTGGGAGGCCAAATACCACAACTGACGAATGGCCCCTCTCTAACCCACACCTCTGGGCCAAGATGCCAGGCCCTTTAACTCTGGCCAAGTGTGACTGGTCTTAGGAAATGACAGTGACAGCTCCCTAAGCAGCTCCTGCTAGACTGGAGCCCCACAGGTTAAAGGACCTGCCCTGGAGTCACCTGGGGAGTTTACCTGTGTGGTTAACTGCCCTAGGGCTCTGGTCCTGGACAGTGAGAGTAACAGCGGCAAAGGCAGCCCTGCCCACCACCTTCCCGGGGAAGATCGGCTGCCCAAACCTTGCATTTCGTAGATCATGAAAAGTGAGCTCTAGAGAAGGGACGGGCCTCAACACTTAGAGCCCAAGTTCACGGCTACACCAGCACAAATAAGTTGGCCCCTTGCTCCTCTGGCATAAATAAGCTACTTAACTTGTAATTCACAAAGTCTAGCTGTTTACTCTGCAATTCAAAGAAAATCAGAGTCCTTCATGAAGTTTCTCCCAAGGAGTTAATATGTACAGTTTATACCTCTGATCTTGAAAATCTCCACATCGATATGTCTCTCTATGCAATTTGATTACTGCTACTGTAGAGGAGGAAGACATTTCCTCTACCCTCTCTGGGTTCTTTTGGCCGGAGAACGAATTAAATTCACATGAGACAGAATAGCAGGAGAAAATTAAACAAAGCTTTATAACATGTATACATGGAAGAGGCTCAGGCTGAAGCCACCACCTTAAATATCATATTCATTCAGCTAAAGACAAAGGAGGATGTTGGAGGGGGGGGAAGTCAGTTACAGGAGGTTACCAGACAAGCACAATAAACAGGAATAAGATTATTATGCAGATTTAAGTCCTTGCATTCTGTATTGATAGGAGTTTCTGGAGATAAGGTCATCCCCCCTTCTTCCTGGTACAGAGAGGGAGACACCTTTACAGATGGAGATTTCCTTTACAATGTAAATGTCTCTTACAAAGGGTAAGTAAATTCTACTTTTCAGTTGCTTTCCTGTCTGCAGTTTATTAAAAGTAATCAGCCCCAGGGGCTGGCCCCGTGGCCGAGTGGTTAAGTTCGCGCGCTCCGCTGCAAGCGGCCCAGTGTTTCGTTGGTTCGAATCCTGGGCGCGGACATGGCACTGCTCATCAAACCACGCTGAGGCAGCGTCCCACATGCCACAACTAGAAGGACCCACAACCAAGAATATACAACTATGTACTGGGGGGCTTTGGGGAGAAAAAGGGAAAAAATAAAATCTTTAAAAAAAAAAAAAAAAAAAAAGTAATCAGCCCCAAATAATCCTCGTGCCAAAGAGATGTACCTTGGGGTGGCCAATTCCAGGCCCCCACACTACTTTGATTGGTATCATTCCAACAGGTACATTCAGCGCCACTCATCACCATGGCGCAGAGCAGCCCTGGGCAGACTGCAGCTGCATGGCCATGGACGTGAGCGTGAAGGAAGGGCCCTTCCCGCGCAGCTGCCCAGGTCATGCAGCTGGACTTGGACCCAAGGAGGCAGCAATTAAAGGTTGGAGTCATCTTTAAAGGAAATCCCTTTGAGGTACCCCTCCCTTTTTTTAACTAATGCAACACAAAGGCCCCCCCAAACCTATTTTTCATTAGAATGGGGCTATTTTCTAAAATCCCATGCCTTTTAAGTCCCCATACATCAGTTAGCCATTCTAGTTTCCTAGGGCCAGTTAGTTTTCTTGTTGTCGAGGGCTTCTTCCACAGTGAAAAATATCACCTACTCTGGAATGCAACATACTTAAAGAACTGCTCTGTTCACCACGTTGAGGCAGAGACTTAGTGCCCTATAGTGAGGGACGGCAGGTGGAGACTGTGGGAGTCTTTACTATAACAAGAAGATGGCACGAATGTGCCACAAAAAGCAGCCATGTCTTGCTAAGGCTTGAGTTATTAGAAGACCGAGTTGATAACACTAACCTGTGCAGTTAAGACCTTAAACGAACCTCACCCACGGAGGTGACTTCGCTTCTCTCCCAGTGTCCTTCCATGTGGGTCAACTGTCATTCAAAAGGAGAGGAGAAGTGGAAATTGACCAGTTTGGACAGAGTCAAAAGAGCAAATAGGAACTGTGCTCAGAAAGGTGAGGAGGCAGTGTGAACACAAAGACTGCTTAGATTTGTATTTTCTAAGGAAGAAGACTCTTTTCTGGATTTAACTTTCTTGTCTCAGAAGTTTAAGATATCCAAAAGAAAAACCCCACCACTTTTGAGAAAAAGCTGGATGTGAAAGAAACAGGAGAAAAAGTCATACTGAGTGATTAAGGATCCAAATGATTTCTGCTCCTTCGGTTCTTTTGTCAGTATGAAGTGCTATCAGGCTACGATTAATCATCACCTGATATTAAAAACACTGACTTTTAAGTGTTCCTCTTATTCGTTTTTCTAGAACATCTGTTCATTCTAAGTAAGTATTCTCTGCCCAAACTTCTTTTTGGAAGTTGTGCAATTGGGCTTATTCAAGTCAAGTCTAATTTGCATGCAACTTCCACAAGCTATGATGTTTCGCCTACTTTGAAGAAATGGGTCTCACCAACTCCGGGCTGAGTTCAACTTGAAACCCATTGAGTGGATCCGTCCCAGGCTGGCTGGTAAGTCCTGGCACAGCACCCAGGGAGTGAGCTCGGGCCTCATCTGCCCCACGCATGCAGGTTCAAGCGCGCCCTGGGGACCCGCGAGAGGAGACAGAGTGTCAGTACTGGCGGTGGTATCCAGCTTTCACCTCTAGCTTCCCCGCAGGAGGCGAAGTCCCTGTGTGACTGCGTTTCCGAGAGGCTGGGATGGCAGCAGTGGGCTGGGAGGCCTGTGCAGGTGAGCGGAGGTCCCTGGAGCGAGGGAGGTGCACTGGGGACCCACAGCGGCCACCTGGAGGGGGTGGACACGGTCTTCTTTAAACCGTCTCTGTAACTGTCCCTGGGTCAGGTGCCTTGGTTGCCACTCCAACCTTATGACTTGCTACAGTAATTGTGTCCACCTGCCTTCTGATGGTTAAATGCCACCACCTGACCTCAATTGCTTCCGGGTCCTCCCATGCCCGTTTCTATTGGTGAGTCTAATTCTGTCTGTCTGTCATCACTGACCTACACAGGAGCACCACCACTGAACTTTCTAGTGATGCTGCTGTCCCAGTCTATTACCCTTCTGCTGCCATCTGTCACAGTAGTCCTGGAATTTCGACCTCACTTAGCACAGGCCATTGCTTTTTCCATGCTTCTAGAGGCTATCCCAGTGGCAGGTTCACACAAACTCCTGGGGTCCGGGACAGGATACTAAATCACCCTGTATCTCAGGAGAATGCTCCCAAATGAATACATTCATCTCCCCCCTCTCACTGTTCCGGCCGCCTCTTCATCAAGCACCCTCCCAGCACAGTCCCTCACACAGGCCCGGCAGGCCTGCTGGCTCAGCTCCTTTGGAGCCGTCCCTTTCCACCTTGGCAGTCTGAGTGCGTCCCCTGCGTGTTCTGCCGGGACTGAGCCCCGGTTCCAGGCCTCCTGGGAGGGCAGCTGGGGAGACGGTCGGGAGGGCATATTTGTCTTAGTGAGGGAAGCCTCTGTCAGGTGGTCAAATGAAGGAGTTGAGTTTTGAGTAGGGTGGGTTGGCCCACTTCTGTGGGCTCAGAGGGTTAAGGAGAAGGAGTGGATTGAAGATTTTCGAGGTCTCAACCCAGACAACTCCATCCATAGGGCAGGGTGCCGTTCTTCCCCACCAGGGCCCTGACTGTGGCACAGGCGGCCTGCGGGCTAGGAGTCTACCCTCCGGAATGCCTCTGAAGACCAAGTCCCGGGCCTGGCCCCCAGCTTTGTCTGCCCTCCCACTACAGAAGCTGACGGCCTCTCTCTACGCCAGCAAGGAGACCCTGAGTGTGGCTCTCGGCCCTTCTGTATCCTTTACTATAGCGTCAACCAAGCACAGCACTAGCCATTCAGTCCCGTCGTTCTTCCTGCTGAGTCACTGGCTTCCCACCGTGTGCCGGACCGATCGCACCGGCTCACGCCCCGCCCGCGCACGGCCGCCGTCCCCCGCGAGGCCACGCCCAGCGCCCGGCTCTCCGGGCGCCCCTCCCCGCCAGGGCCGCCGGCGCGGCGGAGGCGGAGCTGGCCAGGCTCGGGGCCATTCGGCTGGGCGGCCCCCCTGCCCCACGGCGGGCGCAGCAGCCCCCTCAGGTGCAAGGGCGCCGCCTGCGCACTCCGGTGAGTGACCACGGAGCGCAGGTGTCACAGCAAGGAAGCCCACCCACTTTGGAACCGAGTAACGAGGTCTGCGGCCACCTGGGAGTCCTCCCATTTCTCTACCCAGCTCGTCTGGCCCTCAGTTCGGAACCTG